CAAGACTGGAACTAGTAGCACCAATCAGTGGAGCTTAACCATGCTCTGCTCCTTTGGAAATCCCAAGAACCTCCATTGCTCTAGGTCTAGCATCTCCCAACTAGCACATAAGTTGATACATTTGGTGAATGAGGACTTGTTTTACATTTAGACATAAAGGTCAAAATCGAGTATAAGTTTGTCCAGACAGAAAAGCTTGGGAAGTTTCTGCAAAAAGTAGAGCAGAGTCACTATCAAACTTGTAGAACTGTGGTAAACTACAAAAATATTCAGGTTGAGGCTTAGGTCAGCTTCTCACTTGTTAGAGAGGTCTAAAGCCAGGTTCCCATGGGGGTGAAGGGCTCCACTCAAGTTCCTGCAGGATAGTCACTTTTGGTTTTGAAGCTAGGGTATCCATTCCTAAAAAAGGTATCTCCGGAATGGGAAACAAAAAAATGAAAGACTTGCCTCTGTATCTGAAGAAAGGACTCCCACATTTTCCATGCACACTCACTATTGGTATAAGACTTACAGATTCTTATACAGATGGAGTTTTTACACGAGGAATGATCTTGCTAAGCAGTTTCCAAAAGAAGGATTCTTTGATTTTGATAAAATAGAACATTTTAGAAATACCCTTGAATCTTGCAGCTCAAAGATGAAAAAGGATGAGTCAGAAGTCTATTTTGGTCAGCAAATAGAAGCTGCCATGAGATTTTAATAGTAGAACTTTAGAGGTCTTAATGATTCTACCCAACAAGAGTTAAAACAAAAATGTACTTTTAGCCAGTCTGATTCCCCTTCTGTTTCTCCTCTGCCAGCTGGGGAGACGGAAACAGAAAAGAATCTTTTGGAACTTGACAAAGAACCCCAGGAAGTGAGGAAATTTCCTATAGCTCCCTCAGTGACTACCACTATTCTTTATTCCACTCTCTTCCTGGACCTTTCCCCTAATTTCGGGTCATGCTAGCTATCATAAAAATATTCTCCTTGAAGATGAATTAATAAAAGGAAATGGCTTGAAGACTATAGTCCTCTTCACCAACTCCTTGGAGTAGATAGGAACCTCATCTCAGCACCTAACCCTTGAGCCCAGGTGAAGTTGGTTATAGAATTTACTATAGGAAACACCCAAGAAATGAGGAACAATTAACATGTGTCATTAATTGCCATAATCCCATATTGGCAACTATGAAACAAGTCTTGCATGTCATGTTGCGCAATGTGGATAGGCAAAAGACTATCAGAAGAGGCCTGGTGTCCCATTATTGATGCTGAACAAGGTCAGAACCTTGATCAGGCTCAACAGGAATTGCTCAATGCAATCAATGGTCTGTCCTAAGTAAACAGGCTGGGGAAAGATTAATAACTGCAAGCAGAATGAGAATGAAGAGCCAACAAACTACTTAAAATGTCCGAGGACAACTTTTGAAAGGTACCTTATCACAAATGAACCCGTTGACAATACCAAGGAAGTGATGGCAGCTCCATCTGTCCAAGGTCTCCTCTCAAAATTCAAAAGCAGTGGGGAAGCTAGGTGGCACAGCGGATAGAGCATCGGCCTTGGGTTCAGGAGGACCTCAGTTCGAATCCAGCCTCAGACAGAATTCAAAAGCGGCTGCATAATGTCTGTATTGGGTAGCAGACTAAATCTCCAATAATTCGTAGCTGTGGCAGACCAGTCTTCCTTGTCACTCCTCACTTTCTTCTCACTGTGTCCCCCTCCCTCATATTCAATTAGTGGACGAATCCTGTTGATTCTATCTTTGTTATTGTTTAGTCAATTAGTCATGCCCTACCCTTCATGATCCTGTTGGGGACTGTCTTGGGAATGATACTGGAATGGTCTGCCATTGCCTTCTCAAGCTCATTTTATAGGTGAAGAAACTGAGGCAAACAGGGTTAAGTGACTTGTCCAGGGTCACACAGCTAGTAAGTGTCTGAGGCTGGATTTGAACTCAGGTCCTCCTGACTTCAGGGCCAGTAGTCTATCCACTGTACCACCTAGCTGTTACAGCTCTCATATGCCAGTGTCCTGATGCAGGTCCTCATTATCTTATGCAGAACAAGTTTGTTGGCTGTTCTTGTCTCAAGTTTCTCCACAATTGTCTACTCAACTGTCAAGCTGGCAATCTTCCTAAATCAAGAGGCTGACTATGTCATTCCCTTATTCAATAAACTCCAGTGCCTCCTTATCACCTTCAGGATCAAATATAAAATCCTCCGTTTGGTTTTTAATGCCTCAAAATCTGTCCCTTTCCTAACTTTCAAATATGCTCACACTCAAATATTCCCTTCCATGTCTGTCCTCTTACAATCCAGGGATACTGACCACCTTGCTGCTTGTCACACACGAGCTTTCCATGAATATTCACTGACCCTGCCTCATGGTTCCCAATATCTGTCTCCTGGCTTCCCTGGCTTCTTTCAGGTCCCAACTGATGCCCTGTCTTCTGCAAGAATTCTTTCACAGAGCAGAACCAGGAGGACATTGTATACAGTAACAGCAATATTGTATGACGCATAACTGTAAATGATTCACCAATTCTCAGCAATATGATGATCCAAGACAATTCCAAAGGACTCAGGATGGGAAATGTAATCCACAACTAGAGAAATTACTGATGCAGTCTAAATGCAGATTCAAGCACACTATTTTTCACTTTTTTTTTTTGAGTTTTATTTTCTAAGACATAACTGAAATGACTATGATCCAGGAAGGGTGCTAAGTACTGGAGGAGTCAGGAAGACTTGAATAAAAATTGGATCTCGCACACATATAGCTATATGGCCCTAGGAAAATCACTTAACATCCATGTGCCTCAGTTTTTTCATCTATAAAATGGGAATATTAATAGCACTTACCTCCCAGGATTGTAAAGATCATATGAGGTAATAGCTGTAAAGTACTTTGCAAACCTTAAAGCACCATATAAATCCTAGCTATGATTATTATTCGCGCCAACTTCAGCCATTAGTATTTCCTAAGCTTTCCCTCAAATTTGGGAGGTATGCTTTATTTGGAGCCAATGCGTTGACAAGATGTAGCCTCCATGTCCTCCAGCCTCCCTTTTCATAGCTTCTCATCTCTTCCATGATGCCTTTTTCCTTTGAAACAACATTGGGTTCCTTTATTAACTTTTCTGTACAAGTTCTCAAAGTTTTAGATGAAAAACAGACACCAGTAACACTAGGTTAAGAGAAGATTAAGGGAATTTCAGAGTTAGGGCCAATGTTCAGGATGCATATGAGGGACTTTGGCAAAGACAACACTCAGGGACTCCACTGCCCTGCTTACTCAAATGCATTGACTAACAGATAATTAAGTTATGTAAAAGAGGGCAGTGGGGCAGACAGGTGGTGAAGTAGATAGAGTGCAGGGCCTGGAATCAGGAGGTCCTGAATTCAGATGTGGCCTCAAACACTTACTAGTTTTGTGACCCTGGGCAAGTCACTTACCCCTTTTTGCCTAGTTCTTCATCTGTACAATGATCTGAAGAAGGAAATGGCAAACCACTAATATAGTAGAAAACCCTGCCAAGAAAACCTAAAATGGGGTCTTGGAGAATCAGACCCAGCTGAAATGACAAAAACAACCATGAAAGTCACAGTGTTGGCTGCAATGACAAGAATGCAGGGAGAAGGTTGCTAGCTCTGCTCTGGCATCACATGATGTTCCTTAAAGTTATTAAAGTTTTAATATTATTCAAAGTGCTGTGATACTGTCTGCAAAATTTTTTTTCTTTTCAACAAATATCTATTGTTTCTCTTCTGTGCAAGGTACTATGCTCGATGTTGGGGATTTAAGGGGAAAATGAAAAAAATCTGTTTTACAACAAATTCTACTATGGAAACATGACATTTATCTGCAACATTCTTTATAGGAACCAGTAGGAATTTACTCTCTCCTCACCCAAAATAGCAGGGAGGCTTGGAGAATTCCTTTGAAGGAAGATTTTGAACATTGCTAAGCTAAAAGAGCCAGAAACACCATTAACTGCAGGCAGATTGGCTGGACAGTCCCACAAAAGAGTGCTAAAACTTCCTCTGAAGAAGGAGCCCCAATCCCAGCCCTAGAAGAAGATTTCAGCAGTTTTAGAAACAGGATAGGATATCAGTGGGGCATTCACACTTGTCTGGGATTTGAACCATTAAAGCTATTGCAGCTGAGCCATAACCTTGGGCCCTCCTGAGTCCCATAGGTAATATTCCCATTCTGATGGGCAGCATGGGAATCCATGGGAAATTGTATTTCTTTATGTCTTGGGTCATTTCCCTTGTTGATTTGAAATGAGCCCTTATGGCAAGGAGACAAAGCATATTTTATTGGAATGGATTTCTACAGTGGAGAGGAAAAGAGGTTTTATGTGTAGATGGGCAAGACACTTCAGCCTCAAGAAGACCTGGCTTTAATCCTGTCTCTGACTCCTACTGGCTGTGTGAGCCTGGGCAAGTTGTTTAACCTCTCTGTGTCCCTGGCAACTCTTAGACTAAAAATCCCAAGACAAAGGCAGATGTGCTATCAGCAGAGGGAATTTCCTCTCCAGGGAGCTCACTACATAAATCAAAGCACAGGAATCTATAGGATTTATTTTGGTATTCGTCCTAAATGAAAACTTTCCTATTTGATCTATGGTTCCTGAGTTTTGATAGGGAATTCCACATCTGCATAACTAGGATCACCCCCAAACAATACCTGGAGTAAAACCGGGAGTTATTTGGAATCCATGATACCCACATCTAGATGACCAACTTTGATATAATGATAAAAATTATCCTAGTAGACATTCCTTACACAATGAAAGAAACTTCATCTTTACATTTCAATTATGCTATGTGGTCCAGGTTAAGCTGATCAGTTCCTATTCACCAAAGTCCCAAATTCATTTCAATCATTTAAATAGATCCCTGCCTAGCTGCCTTCAGCCTAGCATTGGGAAAAATGGGAGGGTCTGAATCCTGCTCTTCACATGATTCTCCTCCCTCTTCTCCCCCCCCCCCGCCCTCATCTACCCTCTGAATCATTGGCCCTGAGAGTTTGGACGTTTCTCATATATCCTTGGTAGAGCAAAGACTACAAAAAGGACGGCTTTTATATCTAGGTCCTGGTCAGATTGTTTGTTCTCTCTTGTTTTTCAGAAAACCAGGAACTGAGAATCATGGCTGGGAAGCCCAAACTGTATTACTTTGATGGCAGAGGCAGAATGGAATCGGTGCGCTGGCTCCTGGCAGCTGCTGGGGTGGAGGTAGATGTTTCATTTCTTACTTTGTTGTTTTTCTTCAGATTAAGTGAATATTTAGTAGAGGAGAAGTCACATGGAACTTACTTAATGACTACCTCCAAAAAAGGGGTCTAATCATTGTGATCACCATCTTTCCCCCCCCCCCTTTAACAGTGAACTGAGTCTCAGGAGCAAATTGAAAGTCATATTTATCTTGCTAATTAAGTGTTGATTGAGTTCCCCTTCTGAAAGTGGAAACCGAGCACAGTAGAAAAGTCACTGGATTTGGATTGAGCAGATGTGGATCCAAGTCTTGGTGATACGACCAGCTAGCTATATACCTTTAGGCAAACCTCCTTGCATCTCTGAGACTCAGTTTCATCATTTGTAAAATACAGGAGTTGAATTAGATTATCTCTGAGATCCTTTGTAGCTTTAGCATTCTGTGATTCTGGGATCTTTGCCTGTACGTAATTGAAAAATATCTAGGAACAGTGGTTGTGTTTTCTAAAGAGATTTAAGCAATCTACGTTTTTGCTGACTTTTAAAAAAAATTCAGTCAGGTTTGGGGAAGGTTCAGATTCCTTATATACAAGGTCTTCCTAAAATCTTTGCAAAGTTTCTAAACTTTTAAACATTAGTAATTTAGATTGATATGCCAGAAAAAAACTTTGTAATAATCTTTCAGGTGATAATGAATGATTTTTCTCCCTCCTCTCTTATATTGATAAATCACTTCACCTCTTGGGGATTCACTTTCCTCTCTTGCCAAATGAGGAGATTAGAGGAGCTAATATCCAATGTCCCTTTCAGCTCTGCCTACTTCATAAGATGTGAGGGACTTCAATTCTGCTAATCATAGGACCTTACTCTGTGGCAGGATGGAAAATACAACTACTTTGTGGACAGATGTGTAATGTGGTTACTGTAAACTTGAACAAACTTCTTTTTAAATATTGAAAAGCTATTTCTTTTGTACCTGCACCCTAGGTTAGGCCTAAAGCTCTGCAGAAGTTTTAAGAGGACCCTGGGTGGACACATACATTAGGTTAATATGTAATGAGTGTATTATTGCTATTCTAAATGAATTAAAATTTTAAAAAATAGATTTACAATTACAATATATGAAAATTTGGCTATTGTAATGTCTATGTTGCAAATATCAATAGATAGAACCCACATAAACAGAAGCTAGTTGGGTGGGTGTCACATCAAGAATGCAAAGGGGGATTCTGATAATAAAAAGTTTGAGAAGTGTTGGACGAGACCATCACAGAATCATAGAGGTAGAGCTGGAAGAAACCTTGGAGGTCATTTAGTCCAAAGTCCTCATTTTTGCAGGTGAGGAAACTGAAGCCCAGAAAAGTTAAATGACTTGCCCAGGGTCACCCAGCTAGAAAATGGGTACCAAAGGCAGGATATGAACTCAGGTCTTTGTGACTCCTAGTCTTGTGCTCTATCCATGAAACCACCTGGTTGTGTTAGGTGATCTCTAAGGTCCCTCTCAGTGCTAACATTTCATCATTCCATTGCCCTGATACCCTCTTGTGTCCTTCTCCTTTCTAGTTTGAAGAAGTGCTTTTCGAAACAGCTGAAGATTTTGAGAATTTAATTAAGGGTGAGTTCAAAGTCTTGCTGTTGTGCTCTGCTACTCCATGAAGATCAGACTAACTCCCATTGCCTTGCCTGAAAAGTCATGCAAAAAGTCTCCAAGATCCCTTGTAGCCCTAAAATTCTCTGATTCTATAGTTGTGACAGGGAATTACATGAAACAGTACACATGTGTGCTTCTCTGTACCTGAGAAGTAGGGTTTGAATTTCAAAACAGCTACCTCAGGGAAGAAAGTAAAGCTTTTTTCCTCCTGAAACAAAGGGCCTTTGGCTTGTATAAAGGAATAACGGTGGAAGTAAAGAGTGATGGGATTTAAGACTGGAAAGTTTAGGTTGGCGTTGGGTCATGCGATTCTATGAATTGGAGGAATGAGTAGGCAAAAGGGAGTTACTGGAGTTTTATTTTTTTTCTTGTAGAAATAACTTGATATTGCTGTGTTTCCTTTTTATTTCCCTGATGTTTCCTGGACTGTGAAGTGGGAATGATGATATAGCGCCTGCCTCCTAGAGCTGTGAGGATCAAATGCGATAATATTTTAAAAAAACACTTCACGTGGTACCTGGCACATAGTAAGCACTTAACAAATGCTAATTTGTTACAACGACCCTGAAAACTTGGTGCTATTATCATCCCTATTTTACAGATGAGGAAGCTGATGCTAACAGGTTAATTGATTTGCCTAGGGCCACATAGCTAGCAAGTGTGTGAGACAGGATTTGAAATCTGGTCTTCTTAATTCCAAAGTCCAGAATGCTGTCCACTGTGCCATTTATGTGAGTAAAAAAAAAGGGGGGAAGGGAATAAATATGCATTAAATGGGTCTTGTAACCATCTTGGACCTCAGTTTCCTCCACTGTGAAATGAGAGAATTGAACTAGAGGACCTCTACTGTCCCTTCTGGTTCCAGCACTATGATTCCATGACTGTACTCCAATGACTTGACTTTTCTTTCTGTTTTTAGGTGGAAAACTAATGTATGACCAAGTGCCAATGGTTGAAATGGATGGAATGTACATGGTACAAACCAGAGCCATCCTGAGATATATAGCTACAAAATACAACTTGTATGGGAAGGACCTGAAGGAGAGAGCAATGTACGGTAATCATTGCATGCTTATAATTGAACATTAAAAACCACCTTTTTCATTTTGGAAAATTTCTTTTTAGTAATTGAGATTGGCAACTAATTTGTCCTGGGTCATATGACCAGTAGAGTTCAAAGGCAAGACTTGAACCCAGAAAATCCTGACTCAAAGGCTCGCTGTTTATTCATTAAAACCTCTGTCTCTCAATGAAATTGTGTTCAGCAGTTACCTTCTTTCCTGTATAAAAGCAACAATGCTTTCGTCAGTATGTTATGAATACGTAAAACTTTCTAACTTCCTTTCCCCATCTGAGCTGCTTTTGGACTGGGGTTGGCCTGGTAGTAGGTATCTCTACCAGGTAAGACCAACAAAATAGTGAGAGGTCAAAGGAGAAAAAAAAATCTCTAACTTCAAAGTAGATACCTGACTTTAAAGTAATGATATTGACTTTTGTAGACTACTTATCAATCAATTAATCAACAAACATTTATTAAGCATCTACCATGTGCCAGGCATGTGCTATGCTCAAAGGCCACAAAAAGGCAAAAAACAGTCTCTGCCCTCAAAGAGCTTATATTCTAATGGATTGCTTATGGAATATATTCCCACCAATATTTTAAGGGCCATATGCAATGGGCTAGGCCACCCACAGGTACCTAGATGACTTGCTCAGGAGATAGGAAATAATGGCTTTGGAGCTCAAAACAACTCCCAATAATCCTGATTTGAAAAAGCGTGAGTTCAAGAACAATAAATATCTTCACTACTTATTCAATCAATGAAAGTGAAGGTGTTTAAAAAATTAATATCTATGTTTATTAACTTATCATAGAGAAGCCACATAGTATACTGGAAAGCAATCCATATTGGATGAATCATCCACAAGCATTTATTAAGCACCTGCAATGTGTTAGGTGCTGTTCTAGGCTATGGGAATAAAAAACAAAGACCAAAAATATTTTGAAACAATTTTTATTCCTAAGGAGTTTTTTTATATTGTGGAGTCAGAAAGAACTGGATTCAAGCCTAGGCTTTGACACTACCTTTTTGACTCTTGAAAGGTTATTTAACCTCTCAGTGCCCCCTAAAATAATAAGTGGCAGGTGACTTGTCAGTTTGTGTAGTTGAAGGAGTAACCCATGCTGTTGAAATCATAGGTGCAGATAAAAACACAAAACCAAAACAATTCATGGAAACTGTGAGCTCCTTGAAGGTAGGGGCTGTCTTTTGCCTCTTTTTGTATTTCCAGAATTTAACATTGTCCCTGGCACATAGTAGGCACTTAATAAATGCTGATTGATTGACTAGTAGTGAATGTTTGTCTAAACCAAATGAAAATGTCCTTTAAAATGAAGGTTGATGTTTTTAAAATCCTGAATCAAGCTTTTTTCCATTCTAAAGAAGATCCTGGCTGCCAATCTGTAGACAGACCATTTTCCCCATCTGGGCCTTAAAATATGTATGACTGATTAGACTGTGTTCTTATCCTGGGGTTTATGACCTTGTTTATTTAAATATTTTGATAACTGTATTTCAATTTAATTGGTTTCCTTTGTAATTACATATATTTTGTTTTATGCATTTAAAATATTATTCTGAGAAAGGGTATATAAGGTCTAACTGGATTGATAATGGGGTTCATGACACAGTAAAAAGGTAAAAAATCTCTGGATTAGAGGAAAAGTAGAAAGCGTTCAACATAATAGCATCATTGATGTAGAGCTAAAAGTGATCTTAGAAATCATCTATTCCAACCTCCTTATTTTACAGATGAGGAAACTGAAGTTCAAAAGAGTTAATTATCCTGTTCAATTTGAATTGCCAGTGATGACTGCTCTTGAAATGAATAGATCTGTTTCAGGAGAGAGGCAACAATTTTAAACTAATTACATTTTTTACATGGGTCTGTTCTTCAAGGTAGGGCCGGTATTCAAAGCTTCTCCAACAGGTCTTTGGGCATGTCCCTGGTAGCACATATGTTACAGTTTTGGCCTGACCTGTGATTTCATTGGCAGAAGGAATTCCAGTAAGGAAACCCTTTCTAACAATACAAGTCAGCAACAATTATGACTTAGAGTCTTATAAAGTTGCTTTCAGTGACTTGTCTAGAGTCGTGCAGCCAGTATGTGTCAGAGATGGCACCCAACTATGATCCCCCAATTCCAAGGCTGGCTTTATAATGTGGGGTTCTTAACTTGGAGTCCATGAACTTGCTGGGTTTTTTTTTAATTTGATAACTCTGTTTCATCCTGATTGGTTTGCTTTATAATTCTATGTGTTTTATTTTATGCATTCAAAGTATTCTGAGGAAGGGTCCATAGGCTTAACCAGAAAGGGTCCCAAAGTCACTTATGACACAAAAGGCTAAGGATCCTTATTCTTTACTTCCCTATGATGCATCTTAGAGCCTACACTACAATGATGAATTAATATCTCACATATAACATCTTTCTTTGGTATGTCATAACAACACTTTATACTTTTAATAGTATGTTAATAGAAAAGATCAAGTGAGGAGTATACTAAGTGGCTTTTGAGGTCCTTCTAGTTCTGAATCTATAATCCTATATTTTTAAAGCACAGGGATGACCATATTTTAAAAAAGAATAAAAAACTTCTGTGTGGTGACCAACAAGATCCCAAATAAGGCATTTTCTCTGGTCCCCACTAACTCTCAAAGGCCCTCTCAAAAGAGCAACTGTGTGCCAGAGGTAGAGTAATACAGTTGAATCTACAGGAAAAGAACTTGAGATTCCCAACAAGGTAACAGCTTATGAATGAACACTGGGCAGCATTAATCCTTAAAACGTTCTCTAGGCAACCCTCTATGACCTATAAGCCATTGAAAGGGCATACAAAACCATCCATGGGCTTGTGCCTTGGACCTGCACAAGGACTTTCCTCCTAGTGCAGACACTCGAAGCACACATCCCACCTCCAGCTGCCATTGCTACAGGCAGTAGGCATTGATTCTGCCTAGCTATGTGAGGAGGAAGTGGGTTGGGGAAGGGAATCAGGCTTCCTTCTGCCTGGGGCAGTCCTTAAGGAACCTCAAGACTACCGAGACTATATAGAATACTACTCCACCCTACCCAGCACCTCAAAAGTAGTAGAAGCTGATGCAGTCCAGTTAGAGGAAGAAAGAACCATGAAAAGTACAAAGTGTTTCCTTGCACCAAGTCTAAAGGAAAGGGCAGTGAAACACAACTAAAATAGCTAAGTCCAATCCAGAAGTTATGTAGGCTAGGGACCCAGGCCCTAGCCTGGGAAAAGTATATCCTTCAACATGAGACGAGATTGAGGCAGATTTGTAGCACAGCCCTGAGAATATGCCTACAAAAAAGGTAGACTTTCAAGAAGTGAGTAATAGGGTTTAAAAGGAAAAAAGGCTAAAACTACTGATAATTTTGAGATTAAATTTAAAACCCTGAAGCACAAGTAGATAAATCAACAGAAAGGATAAACAAATTAGAAGGAAGGATGAGTACTAAAGTCTCCAAAAGATGACCAAGTTCTATAAATATTACAAGACAAAGGTATTGGACTTTGCTCAGAAGCCTCCAGTGGTTCCCTAACTCTAGATAAAATACAGACTTTTCTGTTTTATATTCATAGTCATTCAAAACTGGAATTAAGTTCCAGGTTGTGTCTTTCTGAGTTTCTCACATATTACTTACCTTGACATACTACCTTCCAGCCTAATTTGCCTTCTTGCTACTTCAAACACAGTATTAAGGCTCCCAGTCTCTGCCTTTGAAAAACACCCTGGTCCCCATGTCTGGAAAGCACTTCCTCTTTACGTGTGCATCTTAGAATTCTGAGATCCCTTCAAAGCTCAGCTCAAGGGCCACTTCTTACAAGAGTCCTTTTTTGACTTCCCTCATTTCCCATCCACCCCTCCAATTATTTTGTACTTATTGTATATAAACTTTACATTTACCTACATATTCACATCTTATTTCCCACAATAGGATATAAATTCTTTGAACCCAAGGATTGTCTCTTTTTGTCTTTATCTCCCTAGCATAGTACCTGGAACATAGTAGGTTATTAGTAAAGTCTTATTATATATACATAAAAATGACTTAATTAGTGTTTGTTGGCTAGGGTGAATTGGAACCATTGCTCTAAGTGACAAAGTTGTAGCATTGTAGGGGTCGTCTTGAACCTTTTCCCCTATAGGAACTGTCCCTACTTTTGAACCCACTTCATTATTGTCACTCAATTCACAGAGTCAATTTTAACCTTTCTTTGCCCAGTTGACCACTTCTTGGCTCATTCTAATACTGTATATTTCTTAGACATTAATTATGTTCTCTACATCTATTAAATGCTGAAATTTACAGTTTTTGAGGTCTATATGTCTGAATATTCTTGGGGAAAAAGCATTTTTTTTCCAGGGAAAAGCCCCGACAACTTTGATTTTAGGTGGTGTGACCTGCCTTTTAGGGATGAAAAAATTAAATGTTAAATAACAGATGACAGGATCAGAGATTTAGAGCAGGAAGAGACCTTAGGAGACTTCTAGTCCAAACACTTCCTTTTACAGATGAGGAAACTGAGGCACAGAATGTTTAAGTGACTCAGCCAAGATAGTGAGTGACATAACCAGAATATATGTTAGACCTGGACTCAGAGTGGTGACGAGGTGCAGTGGATAGAGTGCTGGTTCTGGAGGTAGGAAGATTCATCTTCCTAAGTTCAAATCTGACCTCAGAAGTCACTAGCTGTGACCCTGGGATCTGCATACACCATACAGAAGAAATGTACCTTTTTAGACACTTAGCCCTGTTTGCCTCAGTTTCTTCATCTATAAAATAAGCTGGAGAAGGAAATGGCAAACTCCACTCCAGTACCTCTTCCAACAAAACCCCAAATGTAGTCACAAAGAGTCAGGCATGACTGAAATGACTGAAGAACAATAACAGGAAGACCAGGTTCAAACCTTGTCTATGAGACATTATAGCTGGGTGACCCTGGGCAAGTCATTCTCTGAACCAATAATGCCTGTAGGACCTAGCTCACAATGTGGAGAGGCTCAAATGAAATCATGTGGGTAAAGTGCTTTTCAAATTTTAAAGCCTTTTCTCTCTATGTCAGTTATTATTAAATGCTTTTTCAGTCATTTCCCCTAGTACTCATATTTTTATTTATGTCACTTTTCTCCTCCAGTATTGACATGTATGTGGAAGGGATGAGGGATATGAATGACATGATTATGCTCTTCCCACTTTCTTTGCCTGAAGAAAAACAAAAGAATCTCAACTATATCCTGGAGAGAGCCACTCAAAGATTCTTCCCAGTGTATGAGAAGGTATGGAACAATGCCGTTTGTCCTTCATTCTTAGAAACAAACATGACTCAGGGAAGTGATGCCATGACATACAAGTGAATTGCATTTAAGTGAGGAGGGCTGTGCAAAGTCACCAGCCTCAGTTTCTCCTCTGGAGTGATCTGGATCCAATGGCCAGATATGGATCAGGATGACTGGAGAAGGCCCAGGATGCAGTGGGAGACCATGGCCTTTTCAAGCTAAGGTCTTTAACTGGTCTCAGTTTGACTGAGGCAGCACCCATTCAGTGATTAGGGCTTAATAAAAAAAGAGGCAAAGATCTTCCCCTCCCAGATCTATGGAACAGTGAGGCAGTGTGTGATCTGCCTGTACAGTCATTGAAATTACTAGCACTTTGTCTACTTCATTATGAGCAAATACTTCACAGTGCAGAAACACCGGAGGCCCCAGTGGTATAGAAGAAAGACCACTGGCTCTGTAGACAGATGATCTGAGTTCAGATCCTGCCTCTAATACTTATTACTTGTGGAAATATGGGCACATCACTTAGTAACAGACCTCAGTTTCCTAAGCTTTACAAAATAAGAGAGCAACTTATAGTGGATAGAGTGCTGGACTTGGAGTCAGGGAGACTTTGGTTCAAATCTTACCTCAGACCAGCTGTGTGACCCTGGGCAAGTCACTTGTGCTCTCTGGGCCTCAGTTTCTTCATCTGTAAAATAAAGAAGCTGGACTTAATGACCCCTAAGGTCTCTTCTAGCTCATAATCTATGATCCTATGAATTCATAAAGAGCTGAAAGTAGGCAAAAATAAGATAGGCAGCCACTTAGAACTCAACATCAGAGGATACAACAAAAGGCACTTAAGATTCATTTTTACATTGAAAAGCTATATGGTTGGTCCTGGCACTGATCTCCTTGAGTTCTTATGCATCTTTTTAGACTGGTAAATAAAGGAAGGGCTGGTGGCTCCTTGAGTTCTCTTCATAAGAAATGGATTTTTCTGAACCTATTTATAAAGTTGGTACAATCTAATCCTTTTGGGATGAAGACTTACTAAATCATTTAATACACATACATTAACTGCATCAGAAGACGCAATAGCAACAACCTCTCCACAAGCATTTATTAATGAGCCAACTGCATGCCAGAGACTGTACTCAGCACTGAGGACCCAAAGGCAAAATGAAATAGACCCTGCCCTCAAGGAGCTTACATTCTTATAACTAAAAGTGTTTGTGTGTGTGTGTGTGTGTGTGTGTGTGTGTGTGTGTGTGTGTGTGTATACACACACATAAGTACAACGTAATTTGGGGGGAAGATATTACTAACTTCATCCATATGACATCTCTAGTAGATTATTAAACTGTGAGTTTATAGATCATAGTTTTACTGGAATATGGGAGGCAACAAAATATAACACTAGATTTGAGCTCTGAAATCTAGGTTTTAATTCTAGCTCTGCTATTTTCTCTATATATACTTTGGGTGAATCACTTTAACCTCAGTGGGCTCCTTTTCTCCACCTGAAAAAGAAGGGGGTTGGACTAGGCAATCTCCAGGTTCCTTGCACAACTTAATCTTCTATATAATTCTGAGTGGCAATGAAGTGCATGTTTTGCACAACTCTTCATTATAATTTCAACATATATACTGTGCACTGATTGTCTGTGTATCTTGTAGTATCCTCTGCCTGGCATAGTACAAGCTCCTTGATGACAGAGATTAAATTGTTTTTTGCCTTTTTATACCTATCACCTTACCCAATGCTATGCATTGTTATTCTTGTTCAGTAGTTTTCAGTTGTATCTGACTCCTCATGACCCCTTTTGGGATTTTCTTGGCAGAGATACTAGAGTGGTTTTGTCATTTCCTTCTTGAGCTCATTTTATAGATGAGGAAACTGAGTCAAACAGGGTTAAGTGAGTTGCCCAGAGTCACACAGCTAATAAATGTCTGAGATTGGATTTGCATTCTGGAAGATGAGTCTTCCTCACTCTGGGCCTGGCAATCTAACCACTGTGCCACCTAGGTGTCATGCATGTAGAAAGTATTTGATGAATATGTGTTTATTTGTTAAATAATATCTGAAATAGAAAAATATGTTGTACCAGACTTGTTACACAAATTGTTGTGTTGTTACACAGATTGCATACACCTCTGTCACAGTGGAGAAGAAACTGATGCATGGATCTGTCAGTTTCAGTTTGTGGTGACCGATAATTCACAGACTCCATCATAGAGAAAATCTGTTTAAAAATACTTGGTGTTTCTGTCCTTGGTAAAAAAAAAAAAAGTTGTCAAAATTATAGCACTGTCTCAATAACCTACAATTCTTGTAGGCAGATTGTCAACACAACCTGAGAATGTGGTCAACAGATGATCCCTCTGGGCTCCTAATATGGGCAAAGGATAATGACAAAAAAAGCAATCAGATTCTGCTGTAACCTGGGTTTAGGTCACATGCTATGTTTCATTGATTGTCATAGCTAAGGAGACCTTAGCTTGTCTTGGGTTTTGTAAATTTTACTTTCCCAGTTTTGTGACTTTCCTTAAGCTTAAGGATATTTCCTTTTGGCTGAAATATTTCCCTCTCCTCCCCCCCTTCTAGGATTTGTTGTTTTTTTTCCTCCACTGAAATTCCCTTTTCTGGCTAAATTGGGGTCTCCTGTAGGATTCCAAATAAATTGTGCAACCTTACTGCCTGTGGATTACTGCCAATAAGTATGTTGACTGCGTTAAATAATACTGCTTAGAGTTCTATGCTATTGATTACATAGTTGTTGAATTGAACGTGGCCCTGAATTCATTGCTGTTGCCTGCCTTATGGTATTTTATTGCTTGTGTGTGTCTATCTGAGCTTCTTGGTTATCATCACCCAACAAGACTGCATATTTTTTTTTGGTTAGAATTTGCCCGATTGCTTTGTTGAATACATTTTAAAATGGAGTTTGAGCCAAGAGTTAAAAGTCAAGACTTTACCCATTTGTTGTGAGGTGATGCCATGAGAAACTCACTGAGGATTTTACATTCTAGTAATAATAATAGCTAACGTTTATATGACATTTACTATGTACCAGGCACTGTGGTAAGGACTTTACAATATTATCTCATTTGATCCTGCCAATCACCCTGCTTAGATAGTCTGAAGATGTAAGGGGCAGAGATTTGGGAGTGGACAAACTGAAATGTCTGATCAAACTTGAAAAAGATATTACAGTCAAGAGGTTTAGACCTTCTCCCACAACAGGGGTGCCCTAGGCTAGGGGTTTCTTCAGGAAAGCTAGTAACTACTACAATCAAGAAAGGAATCCAGGTTTCCTAACTCCTGGCCCAAACTGGGTTTTTTTTTCTTTTTTAAGACTTTTTTTTGGGGGGGGTGAGGGATTTGGGGATAAGTGACTTGCCCAGGGTCACACAGCTAGTTAGTGTGAAGCGTCTGAGGCCGGATTTGAACTTAGGTCCTCCTGATTCCAAGACCAGAGCTCTGTCCACTGTGCCACCTAGCTATTCCCCAAATCCTTTTTTAAAAAATTTTCTTTCATAATACAGTGTCTCTCTCCATCTCTCGTTTGGAGTAATTCATAGTGAGGAGAAAGATTCTACTGGGTGGAAAGTAATTATTTTGCTTGCAAGAGAGAGTATACCAGGCTATACTTTTTTATTTTAAAGTTAATCATCAAAAACCTAAATATTTGGATATAGAAAGAAAGATTATATAAGAAACTGTAAACTTTTATAAGGTGTCTCATACCTAGAATGCAATAGCCATTTGGTTGATCTACCTGCCTCCATTCCAGTTCATCTTTCACTTAACTACATAGATAATCTTCCTTAAGTGTTAGTGTAACCACATCCCTCTCCTATTCACAAAACTCCAATAACTCCTTATTACTTCCAGGATCAAATACAAAATCCTCCATTTGGCTTTTAACTCCCTTTCATAACCTTACCCCTTCCTACATTTCCTATCTTCTTACGCTTTGCTTCTCTCCCACTTCCACCCTAGTTACTCTGAGATTCAGAGACCCTGGCTTCCTTGCTGTTCTGAACAATCTCCTGACTCCTGGGAATTTTCCCTGGCTGCCTCCCATGCTTGAAACTCTCTCCACCCTCATCTCTGCCTCTTGGCTTCCTCCAAATCTCAGCTGATATCTCTTTTGCAAATCTCTTTTTCCAGTTATCCTTAATTTTAGTGTCTTCCTTCTGAGACAGCACTGAAATTATCCTGTCTGTAACTTGTTTGTATGTAGTTGTTTATATGTTGTCTCCTCCATTAGACAGACATCTTTGAGAGAGGGATCTTTTTTTTTCTGCCTTACTTTACATACTCACTACTTAGCACAGACCCTAATACACAGAAGGTGTTTAATAAATGCTTATTTCCCATATAACTAAGAAGGCAGAAATAAAATTCCTCTCTATCTCCTTCTACCTTATGTTTTTTTTGTGTGTGTGTATTTTTTGCTCTTTCCATTAGAATACAAGTAATGCACCCTATATTCTCCCACCTTCTTACCCTTCTCTCCTTGTTACTGGCCCTATAGGCATTACAAGACCATGGGAAAAATTACCTTGTTGGCAACCAGTTGAGCTGGGCAGATGTACAGCTGATTGAAGTCATCCTAATGGTTGAAGAACTCAAGTCTGGCATTCTCTCTGCATTCCCTAAGCTTCAGGTAATTCCATCAAAAGTGGTCACCACCTATTTTGTATATACCCATTGCTTTACATGTTGTCTTGCCCTTTAGATGTAAGATACTTTAGGGCAGGGATGGTGTTTGTTTTTTCTTTTTATCTCCAGAGTTTAGTGTAGTCCTTAGAACACAATTGAAATGTTAATACATGCTTGCTAATTAGTTGACTTAACAGATCTGGGATTTCCCTTGTGTGCATCCTTTCTCTACTGACCCTAATTCTATTTATCTCCCAAACCTTTCATAGATGGTCTTCCTGGGCTGCTGTGGCCCAAGACATTCATCAACTGTTGAGCACCCTTCTGCTGATGATTCTTATGAATTTAGCTGAATATGTTTTCAGATGGTGAGCAAACAGCCCAGGGCCAGGCCCAAAGCTCAAAGTCTTTCCAGGTTGGTGGGACCACCTAAGGCTTTCATTTGACTAGCATAGCTTTGGAGAATTATTGGTCTCCTCCACACCACTTTGAGCAAACAGAGGAGGATTTTAATGGAAGCCATGTTAGGACATGGCCCTAAATTCGATATAGTCATCAATTTATTCACTAATAAATCATAGTTAGCACCAATTATGCACAAAATAGTGTGCTAGTCTCTAGGAATAGAGGTAGGGAAATATAAAAATGAATGTCATGATCTTTGCCTTCCAAGGGCTTACATTCTATCAAATTTTGCTAAAGCTTTCCTTTTTGATTTCTAATGTAGCTGTTTTTATTGTGGGCAGGGGTAATCTGAGGTCATCATTCATTGGTATAGGGAAATCCTGTTGGGCAAACTCAACTCATCAGTGAAATTCAACACTACTTCTATAGCTTATAGTTGTAGAAGACTGGGAGTAATAAGAGGTTATGTGACTTGCTCTGAGTCACACAGCTAATATGTGATAGAGGCAAGACATGAACCCATGTGTTCTTTATATATGGAGGTCAATCGGTGCTCCATTCACTACTTTAAGTTGCCACTTCCAATTTGGCTTTTAATAAGTCTATATAAACAATTAAAGGAAAAAACCCATGTGGCATATACATTTTGAAAAGAGAAAGCTGTTCTTTCTTATACTATATTATATTGTATTGTATTGTATAATATTGTATTATAAACTGAAAAGTAGGCCTTACACATTTGCAGACCAGGGAATTCCTGAGGACTTTCAAACATCACTGCTCATAGGGAGAAAATGATTGCCACAGTTTTCTACCAGGATGAAATAGTTTCCAAAGGGTCTTGACAAGAGCAACCCTGGGGTCCTGCTCCAATGTGCAAGGATTATTCCTTCATTTACAGGTGATGTCATATTGTTTTTTTTTTCCATTTTAGGAGTTCAAAGCTAGAGTCATCAAGCTCCCCAGGATCCAGAAATTCCTTCAGCCTGGTAGTCCAAGAAAGCCACCAGTGGATGATGCAAGTTTTGAAGTTTCAAGGAAGATATACAAGATTGATAAAAATTTGGTTCTTAAACACATGAGCTAAATATTCACAAGTAGAGTTCTAAAGAACACAATTAATATTTTAGTTTCCATCTGTAGTCATGCCCACAGAAATACTAGGATGTGCTCCTGTGACATTCCTAGGTTCAATAACTAGCAAATATGATTTCTCCCTATAGGGCTCATTGTAAATCAGAAAACCTAATCTTTACATTGCTTATTATAAAATTTCATTTAATTAGAACCTCACCTTACTCAGGATTGTAGAATCATAGATTATGTTCTCTTTTTAATTCCAATAAACAGCTAAATTTAGAGCTAGAAGAAACCTTAGAAATTTTTGAGTGTAGTTCTGTCTCCTCCACCCCCATGCCAGTGCTTTTTACTCAGATAGTAATTAAAATCCAGACATACTCCAAGGTCACACAAATGGTCAGAGGTAGAGCAGGGATTCAAGCTCAGGTCAACTATAAAATATGGATAATAATAGCACTTACCTCCCAGAATTGTTGTGAGGATCATATGAGATAATATTTGTAAAGTTCTTAGCATAATGCCTGGCACATAGTAGGTGCCCAAGAAATGCCTGTTCCCTTCCCTGACACTGACCATTCCAAATTTAACACTAGTTCCACTGTTATACTACCCCCTTCCAATTAATTCAAAATTTTCTGCGTTCTACTTTAGGAAGAAAATTATACAAATTATGAGTAAGATGATAATAAAGTTGATTTTTTAAAATTACTACATGAGACATTAGGTTCAGTATAGATTCCAACCTTTTTTACCTATCCTTTTGCTCTTAAGGATCCTCAAAAAAGAAGAAATATTTGGTTATACTCACTCCACAGGATTTGGGCAGGAAAGTAGTCTGATAATATCTTAGGTTTTCAATTTTTAAAAAATGGTTGTTTAACTCTCAGATAACTAGAAATTTTAATTAAAGAAAATGCCCATTCTCTCTGTGTTATATTGCTTTATCATGGTTTTACTTGTGTAAAAAGAAAAAGATTACTTTTAATACTATCAAGGAAAACAACTTTGAAAATTTCCCCTTTTGAAATAGCCATTGACTTGCAAATGCAAGAGAGACTTTCTGGAGAGAACCAGTGGTTTCATTTTTTCCAAGCAGATAATTTATCCGTGCAACATTGTGTTAGATTGTATTGCAAAGCCACCTAAGAAGAAACTTACCAGCATTTAGAGGTAGAGTCAAGGGAAGTCTTAAGTTTTCATTTGGGTTACCTAGTTTTTGTGCGTACTGATTACTGATTACTGATTACATAATAACTGGAGGAGGATGGTTCCCAATATAATGTTCTCTCTCAGCTCTGGAAGTTTTTTTTTTTTAAAGGCATCTATAACTCTCTACCATTTTTTGTCTAAGCTCTGAGCCCACGGCCAGAGACAGCATTCTGGCAAACACCTCAGTTTTTCATTTCTCTTTCTTCCCGCTTTCCTGGGACACTTTCTCTCAATTGCCTCCTTTCAGTTGTAACCCCAGTGGATATACCCCCAAAAAAGCAAAGGTCTGTGGTTAACCTTACAACCTTCTTATAATCAAAGTAAATGTTTAAAATGAAGCAAGACAAACAGACTTTCCCCATACCCAAAGAAAAAGGATTTACACTTCCATGATGGAGCTCAAAAGGAGAAAGGAAATACCAAATTACTGGCTTGTCAGGTCACTTGATTTCTGGGCTTCAGTTTCACCATCTATAAAATGTTGTTTTAAATGACTTCTAAGGTCCCTTCCAGTTTTAGATTAATGATCTTATGAGGCTACTCCAAATGGGAAAAAAATTTCAAGGGGAAAAGAAAATCACATTCAACCTGGATTTTTAAATATTATATATGTAGTGCCTTACACCTCATAGGAATTAATTTTTTTTCATTCTTTCCTCGCTTCCCTTCTTTCTTTCTACTTTTCTTTCTTTGTCTGTCTCTTTCTTTTTGTGCCTTGTTGCATTGTCCTTCAGTTTATTTTGGTTGGTTTTTTTAATTTTGCCACAGATATAAGCATTAATGGAACATAAAAAACCTTTTGTGCTCCCTAAGAAAATAAGATGGAGGACCAGAATTTGGCAAACTAGAAATTAATGAAAGTTATCCCACTGACTTGAGAAAGGGAATGGAATCATGGATTCTTAAGTATTTAGTCTATTCACTCAAACCTCAGAGGACGATTTCAGCAAGTCAATAAAGTATAACCAGTTCCAAAAAAAATTTTTCATTTTTCTCCTTAAGTTTCAAATCCATGAACATGCAAAGGATCTATGATTTCTTCCACATGGTGATTCCCTCCATCATTGCAGTTGTCAATTAATTTATTATTTAGTTTTTAAAAAAAAAACACCCCACAGAATTGCTAAAGGCAATTTAAAGAGCTTAGGTGTTTTGTCCAGGATCACACAGCTAGCAATTGTCAGAAGTGTGATTTTAACCCAAGTATTCCTGACTCAGGGCCCAGCGCTCTGTCCACTGTTCCCACCCCACCTCTAAAGTTGAACATATAGCATAACCAATGTGTGGATTTGTTTCACTTGACTAAACTTACTTATTATGAGAGAGGATTCTATTGGTAATGGGCAGAGAAAGTGGGAAGTAATGAGGAAAAGAAAAGAGAAAAAAGAAGAAAAAAGAGAAAAGTATCAACAATAAATAATTTTAAGAAGGAAAAAATAATAATTACTTGAGTATTGCACAAGGGAGGAAAGTGTAAAAGAATAGTGGCTTCAGTAACGTTGCAGGTCACAGCCTACAGGCTGATGAGCAGGAGGATTTGGTTCATGAGTAACTGCTGCACTTCCAGCCAAAGTGAGATGGGAGATGGGGACAAGGGAAGGCAAGCATTCATTAAACACCGACTGTGTCCCAAGCACAATGGTAAGCACTTTACAGATAGTATCTCATTTAGTTGAGATAAGAAGACTCAGTCTCCAAAAGAAACAAAAATCTCAGTCTACTGGGGAGATAATGGCCAAGCAAGCATGAACAAACAAGCTACATACAGGTTAGAAGTAACGTCAGGTTATCTTTTGTGTAGGTTTAACTTGACTACAACACTAACTTCTGTTCTTTTAACTTGAGACCATTTAGTTAACTGCTCGTTAGGTGTGACTGTTGACAAATGAAACAGAGAAAACATTGCCAACTTGTAGGCTTGGTAAGATTATCAACGTGAACCATGCCATATTAACCAAAAGGTTATCTGCGTTATAATACATAGATGCTTTTGATCTCCAAAACTATGCACGAGTATTGGAACATTGTGTGGCTATTCACCACCAAGATGAGGATCAGGCATCTTGGGATTTCAGAGATCTTAGGGTGCTGAGTCAACATTTAGCTTGTGAATTTTGTGCAGGGTTCATGAAATAATGGGGTCAAAAGATTTAAATCCAGGTCCTTAGGGATTACCTACCCAGTCTCTTCATTTTAGGGACAAGGAAGCAAGCCCTGAAAAGGGAAGGACTGCCTAAGACCACCCAGCAAGATGGGAGGAGATGAGTCTGGAGAAGGGTCTGGAAGGATAGGGCTGATGACATTGATTTCAGGCAGAGCTTTGTCCAGGTCCCAGATTTGAAGCGAGAAAAAGGTGAGACATTGGTGTGTATCTTCTCTTGCCTCCTCCAGCTCCTGGAAATTAGTTGGCCATCAGCAGCTACAGCTGGGCACATTTACAGACTTCTCCAGGGGAGATCTGCAACATCTTGTTGGGGAGAGATCAATGTCCATTTCATCTGCTCCTACCCTTTTCATATACCCTAAGATGACTAAAATGGGTTTAGTCATAAGTAGCCTTATAAATCATATATTTCAGGGGCAGTGGGAAAATTTCCCTGACCATCGTATCATGCCTTCCTATGTGCTTAATGTTACCTGCAATTTCTTTAATAGCAAAAAAGGCTTTTGAACTATTAGGGACAAAAGCCTAAAAGGTAAATGCTTATGCTCTTTGATCCAGCAATACCATTGCTAGGTCTGTATCCCAAAGAAATCATAAAAACGGGGAAAAGAACCTACACACACAAAAACATTTATAGCAGCTCTTTTTGTGGTGGCAAAGGATTAGAAATTGAGGGGATACCCATCAACTGGGGAATGATTGAACAAATTGTGGTACATGAATGTGATGGAATACTATACTATAAGAAATGAAGAGCAGGGAGATTTCAGAAAAACCTGGAAAAACTTATGTGGACTGATGCTAAGTGAAGTGAACAAAACCTGGAGAACATTGTACATATTATTAGCAACATTCCAGAATGATTAAGTGGGAATGACTTAGCTCTTCTCAGCAATACAATGATCCAAGACAATTCCAAAAGGATCATGATGGAAAATGCTATCCACTTCTAAAGAAAGGACTGATGGAGTCTGAATGCTGATTGAAGCATCCTATTTTCCTTTTTTTTTTTTTGCTTTTTTAATTGTTTTCCCTTTTCTTCTGTTTCTTCCTTTACAACATGACTAATGTGGAAATATGTTTTATCTGACTGCACATGTATAACCTACATCAGATGGCATGCCATTGTGGGGGAGGGGAGGGAGGGAGAAAAATTTGGAACTCAAAATCTTTCAAAAAATGAATGTTGAAAATTGTCTTTACATGTAATTGGAAAAATAAAATATTATTAAAAAAGAAAAAAAAAGCTAAATGCCTGGTAGAAGCAACCCACAAATATAGGATATAGACATTTGAGTTCATTTCTTAGAATGGGTAGATCAACTTTTATGTTTTTTATCCATAACCAATAGCAGAGCTAGGGTGGTATGACTTTGTTTCAAGGCTTGGAAATTTCAAAATTAAAACATTTATGATCCTTCAAAATTATAGGAACAACTGAGTTTAGCACCTAGTTAGCAAGAATAATTGGTTAAAATAGGGAAATATGCGATGACCCATGCTTCATTCTGCACACTTCATTCCCCCTCCTCTCCAGCTCTGCCAATCCAGTGAGCTCTTCCCCTTACCTGACACAATCCCCCTTTCCTTTTCCCTTTCTCCATCAGTTTTCCAATCACCAGCTTTCCAGTATTCCAAGATCGCTATCATGGTCTCAGATAAATTGAGGGTATGTTTCAAGCCCTTGCGTTAGGTTCAAAAACTACTATTTATGGCTCTTGCCAAGTAGTTGGATAGCTATAGCTTTGTGATATGGTTTGAGATTTGCTAATGTTGTGTCTCCTTCATTTGCTTGAATTTTTTTTTTTACCTTTTGTTCCTCCAAATGAATTCCATTTTATCTATTTCTATGAAGTCTCTCCTTTGGTATAGTGATTCGTATAACTTCTAATCTATAAATTAATTTAGGCAGTACTGTCATTTTCACTTTATTGGTTTGATTCAACCACAAACAATGACTATCTTTCCAATTACTTAATTCTGTATTTATTTATGTAAAGAATGTTTTGTAGAAGAGGCCATCTTCATGACATCCAATGAATTTGAGCTGAAATGGGCTAGTGCTTAGGACACAGCAGATGTAATTTTTTTTTTTTAAAGATTCAGCTCCAGGCAGGCCATTAGAATGTTCACTTTGGATTCTTGTGACTCAGGTTCAATTAGTCATTGTCTTTAACAGCTGTTGAGAAAGAACAGCTGCAGGAACTTTGCTTCTTGGAATGAGTAGCTTCAGAGAAGCTTGGATTGCATTCAGTTATGAACTCCCTTGCCATCACTGTCCACCTATACAGAGAGATGGGAAATACCTCTGAGTTTTTACCTAATGTATTTAGTGACTTCTACCTGCAAGGCACCTTACAAAGTGCTAGGGAAACAAAGGTGGTAGTTGTAACAATTAAAAAAGGAAGGATGCTGAAATCTTAGAAAATATTTCAGTCCTAACTGTTATTCTCCCCTCCTCTTCCCTCTCCCCCAAAAAGTGACCAAGAAAACATCAATGACTCTTGAATCCTAGACCAATGTTTTTTTGTTCTGGACCTGTGATTTCATTG